GCAAGTGTTTCACTTACATTTGTGACTTATTTGATCATATCTAGGAGCACCTGTGTGAATGCAAAGTACAACCACATTAAGACCAAGAGCCCCCAGTACTGATATGTTTTTTTTTCTGCAGACTACTATAAAATCAAATTCACTGCACCATAATTTTTATTACTACTTAATTTTATTCATTTAGTTGTTTCTGTGAAGCTCTTTAAGATTATCGTGTGATCTTTACCAAAGCCTTTAATGCAGGTTTACAATTTTCTTTGGTGCTTAAGTTACTGTCGTGTTCTTGTTACTGTGTTTGTTGCTCCTACATCTGAAACATTGTTGTCTAACACAGGAAGATGCGTTCGGTCCTTCAGGGCATAACCTGTAAGATGATAAATGAAGTTCCTGACAGCGGTGTAATGGAAATGGCTTCGGCCATGGCAGAGTATCCAGAGTGGCTCTCCAAAGTTCAGGTAGGTATTTACTCACACATAAACATCTTGTCTTTATATAGTGTGTGCAGTCCGCACAGAATAACTATTATAACAAACATGTTTCCAGGCAGGATGTGCTGCCAAAAAACTTTTCACAACTTTGGTGAAAAAGAGAGCAGACTGTTTCAAAACCATCACTGAACAGGAACTGGATAAGATTCCTTCAGCTTTGCTTCTTCACCTGCTGTAAGCAAATGGTGTATTTACTAGTTTAAAGTTTGTTTAGATTTTTTTAAGTTTGTGTTGAAATCTGTTTTCTCATTCCTTTTATCGTAGCCCTTCACATGTGGACGATTTGCCTAGTTCTGTCTGTCCTATTTTCCTTGACAAGATGGAAGAAGCCAACATCAGCTCTTTGCCTCTTAATTCCCCGTCTCGTCCTGCACTCACCAAGAAAGCCCTGTTCTGCCTAACCAATGTACACTCAAGGATACACATAGTAACAATAAGTATTATCTGATAAATTGATCCGCTTGTTCAACAGCAGTTAGAGATGTCTGCCGTGTTTTTGTAGGGGACAGATTTATCCAGCCTCACCCGTGGTGATCTGCCCAAGCTAGGACCCCTCATATGTGAGCTGCAGCCTTCCCAGCTGCGTCTAATGAACCCTGATGTCCTCAAGTCCGCTTTCCAGGAGATGGCTTCCTGCAAACATATTCCTCAACAATACAGGGCAGATATCATTAAGATGGTTCACCAGACCTTTGGGTAGGACACCCTCCTAATGAGCATTAAAGTTAGTACAAAGAAAGACCATAGACTGTATATAAAAGATGCACAAGGCTTCCAGAAAAGTTATGGTTCTTACTGAATATAACATGAAGTTATATGTGTGTGTGTGTGTGTGTGTGTGTGTGTATATATATATATATATGCTTCTGTTTGAGTGAATAAGGGGAACAAAGCCTGTGTGCTTTGTGTGAGTGACATCCAGCTTACATACATACGTGTTTTGTATAGAGCCAAACAAAAAAGTTAAAGTAGTAGTCTTGTGTACTTTTTTTAAACATCTGTAGAAATTCTTCTGATTGGACCGAAGACACTGTGGAATCAGTCGGTCCCCTTCTTCTTTGTGATAAGGTTGCCACGTCTGCTCTACCCAACAAAGTGCGTATCTGCCTTGTCCATTACATGCAGCTCATCTTGTGTTTGTTTTTGTCATGTTCATTATTAAGTCACTCAGAACTCAGAAGTGACTCTCCTGCTTGTGATTAAAAATGGATATATATTTTCAGTTTTTCTTGATGTTGTCCCTCTCTGTATCTCCGTTAGCCTTGGATGAAGGATGTTCTTCATTACATGAAGTCACTGTCCTCTGATCCTTCAGATGCCCTGAAAAAGAAAATCTTTGCTCTTACCACCACTAGATCAAATGCAACACGTAAAAAGAGGGGTGAGAAGGAGGCACGCTTTATCTGTTTTGCAACAATTCAGTTTTATATTTCTGTTTTTTGTAGTTCTTGTGTCTCTAACAGCAAGAGCAACACTGATCATGGTAATAGCAGCGTAACGTTTTATTTGAATCTCTGCCATAGTTTAGTTTTTAGTTTAAATTAAAATACATTTTATTGAAAGTGTTTTCTAAAAAGCCTTATGATTATATTGTCTATACCTGTAGAGATCCTGAGAGAACCCACTGAGAATTTGATTCAAGAACTGGGAATGGATAATGTGTACTGGTCAGCAGGAGAGCTGGATAAGATGTCAAACAGCACTTTCCTGGCCACTGTAGAAATACTTGGAGAAATCCCAAACTACAGTGCAGATCAACTGGCTGTGCTCAGCAAAAAAGCTACTGAGGTACAGTGAGACACAGTCATCTTGGTTTCGTTCATTCGCCAGTCTGTTTTTTCTTTCCAGCATATCTAGTTTTAACAGTTGGCTTTGATTAGGGCACTCACAGTGAGATTGCCACAGTAATAAAAAATTATTGTAAATCAAGGTGGAACATAAAAGGTTTTTCCCACTTTCCCACAATTAATAATAATTAATACAGCTTCACTAATGAAAGTTAAGGTGTACATTTTGAATTATCAATATTTTAATATTATTGAACCAAGATCCAATTGAGCCGTTATTATCCCTGTTTGTCTTAACTGATAAACTGACCTAGGTATAATTTGCTCCGCAGCTGAGGAATAACGTCTGTGTAAATATCCAAACAAATAAAACGCTACACTCTTCTGGTGTCAAAATTAAAATGCAATCTGTAACTTCTTAAGGTTGCATTTGCTGGCCTGTATGTAGAAATCCTATATTTAGTTATTTTGTGTTAGTGTGAATATTTCTGTATATTTCTTTAGGCTTTTGGCCCAGTGTCACAGATGAACGAGGGCGTGGTCCTACAGCTTGAATGTATAAATCAGGGTTTTTCTAATTCTGACCTGGAGAATCTCCCCTTGCCAATGGATATTGTAGAGGGAATTTCCCGCTGTGGGTGGACTCAATCACAGGTGAAGCATAGAAACAGCATTGCATGCTCACCGCTATATCGATTACACACATGACATAACTCATGTGCCAATAGATGGAGTCGTTGTGGAGGGGAATTGCCAAATATAACAATCTGAAAGCGCAGCAGCTGGGAGCTGCAGAGATGGTATCACTGAACCGGCTCATCTGTGGCCTGAGCTCCGGCGAGATCAGACAGCTCAACATCAGCGCTTTCAAGTTTGTCCACCGCACATCTCACTTTTCATTTTATTTATGTCACCCATTTTTCCAGGCTCTTATTTTCACAGATTGTTTTTTGTTAATCTAATGATCCATGACTGCCCACAGCCCATCTCCTCCCACCTCTGTAACAGTAGTCAAAGTACTTATTGTACTTTTGAGAAGTGAAAATTCAAGTGATATCCTGTCATATGCAGATAAAAGAAATCTTAACCTCTGCCACCCATTCAAGACTTTTTAAAAGTTTCTTTTTTAAAAGTTTTAGCTGTGATGTCTTCTTATTTCTAAAGCAGTGATCATAAATAGTTCATAAATACTTTCTTTCTGGTCAGGTGCATAAACAAACCTTTTTTTAGAGTAGATTTGTTCACAGGTAGTGATGCTAAGATTATTTTAACTTTAAAGAGCTGCACAATGATACAGAGTCACAATTGCACGATGTGTGAAAGTTTGTGTTTGTCACAGGAGGGCTGTGGGCTCAATGGATGGTATTAAGTGCTCCTTTCAGGTTTTACAGCAATTAAAAACTCTAGCTGTGGCTGCATTTGGGAAACCCAGCACCTGGACAGAACCACAGGTTGCAGACTTGGGCAACATACTTGGTAAGATAATCTACAACAAAAAAAATAACCCATTGGAATATTTCATAAAAATACCTGTAAAGTGTCACCTGGGAGAGAAATTAGCTTTCACTTTTGGTAATGTTTTTATCCGTGTCCCTAAGCTGGGCTGGATGCATCGGAGCTGGCTTCTTTGGACCCATCTGTCTTTCCATTTGTCAGCAGGACGTGTATCCCACTCATCCCTCCAAACAATTTTGCTGTAAGCAGCTTTTTATTTCCTACTATTGTTTTTAAGCTAGAAGCCAAACCTAGAGACCAGATTTAACAAATACATTCACTCGAGTGTCGGGCCATGCCAAAATAGTCCTACATACAAAAACCCTTAATTTATATTTTTACCAATATTTTATAAGAGAAAAATGAGCTCAGGTGGACTGAGCTCAAATGTATACTATGTTTTACTTTTATTAGGCTCACTCCATTTCAAAGCAGATCATAAAAACGTAATTGGTTACAATAAGGCAGAAAAAGGTTTTCACAGGGTACAGTGAAAGACAACAAATATTGTCATTATGAAGAGGATAAATGCATCACTAATAACACTGAAATTAAAGTTTGCTTGTTCTACGTGTGTGAATATATGTCAGTACAAATTTTGAATGCAGGACTTTTATTTTATTAAATGTTGTATGCCTGACTGTTTTCCCTGCAGGCACTCTCTGCTGCTCAGCTGGAGGCCCTTGGGCCTGACATTGCAGCAATGGTGACCACTGAACAGCGAAATCTGTTGAATAATGATCAACTTGACACACTTGAAACGGCTCTAACTGGTTTTCGTAACCAGGCACAAGGAGCTGTTCAATCAGGTAAAAACACAAATTTGCATAGCATTTAATTCATACGTTCTTCGTCATCTAAATATTTTGAAGTATTTGGAACAAGTTAAATTTCATCCTGCCATTAAACCCTGCCATGAAGGCTTGGCTTATTCTGAAAAACCTAATTTCAGAGTGTTTTCAACATAAATATGACTTAAATTGTTTATTAACAATATAATAACAATTATTATGATATATTTATATATCAATGTGTAAATATTAGACTTTGGTTTTAATGGCCTTTGAATATTATCACTGAGAAATCTTTATATTTCACTGCTATGTACAGGAGCTCCATCGCTGGGTGCAGAGGGGCTCTCAGCCTTCATGAAGCCCCTTCTCTTGCTTCTCATTGGGTTTCTCCTGCTGTGAGTCATCACATCCATCTGCTTAAGCTAATTACAGACCTAGAATAATAATAATAATAATAAATAACAGTTCAGCAATTCTTCAGGTTTATTTAGTGTTGAAAACGTTTGCACAGATTGATGTTTTATGATAATCTATACATGTTTGTGACTGTAGCTCACACGATTAGATGACCTTCTGAGATGTGTTAGAGTTCCTTTACTCTGTTATGTGTTAATAAGAAAATATATTTTATTAATTGCAGAGAAATATTTCATGTTTAATTTTCAGATGTTCTCAGTATGAGTCTGTTTTTTGAAAAGTTGATATTTACTGACAAAAACTGAAGAATGATTCAACTTAATAAACCTTATTGTTACGCCAGCAGCCAACAGCGAAGTTTGTTGAAAGAAATGACCAAGTTACAAGTGACTTTTTTCCCTCTTTCTCTGAAATGGTTGGTTTGAAATTGTTTTATCAATGCTAAACACGCACAGGGGAGAGCTAACTTTGACAGTTTTTTTTTTAACAAACTGTTAGCTGTCTATTGATATTATTCATGTATAGTGGTGAGAAATATCTCAGAACTTGCAGCCTGTCAGAATGTTAATACAAAGTTACAACTGAGGCTCACATTATGAAATCACCACATGTAGACGTTCATTCAGCCTTTCTAATTTGAAGACAATTTTGTTTTATGGCTGAACATCTTGGCTGCAACCTTTCCAAAACCAATTAAATTCAGTTATTTGTATTTTTTCGAGAAAATGAAAAAAAAAAAAAACCTAAAACAAAAAATACCCATGTTTTAGAAATAAAAATACCTTTGCAAATGTAAATATGCAAAATAGTCTGCAGTTAAAAGCAAGTGTTTGATCTTTGTCAGCTGCCTGTCAGTCAGCCTCAACAAGAGAGTGGTCAGCTGAAAAAGTATAACAGCTCCTTCAAAAAAGAAAAAAGAAGAAAAAGAAATCCAACATTATGGGGTAAAGGTTGTTGGTTGTTCCCAGTCTAACATGCAGAGCAAGTACAAACAAAATGGGAAGGCTGTGAAAGGAAACCATCAGGTCAACAGAAGACACCAAAACATCAGGACAGAAAATACAAACATCCATCTATGGTTTATGGTTTTATTACATGAAAGTTCATAAATCCACCCTACAGACCTCAGCTGTGAACTCTATTTGATTAAGGTAGGATTACATTTATTGAGAGTATTCTTCAGAAGTGACAAAACCTGAGGAGGTGCAACATTTGTTGAGCTACCAAATTAATAAATCTGCATTACATCTGTACTGAATAAACATCCTCTAAATGGGGTGATAAGGTTTTTTTTTTCTCTAAACAGGATAATCAGGTGTCTCGATCAAACTGGCACTTATTCCTCCTTTCAGATTTTTTTTAGAACACTTGTGTTAAACATGTCTGATTTTGCAGTTTCTCTGAACTGATGAGGATGCTACGTTGACACCTATAGGTGAAAGAACCACGAGAGAACGTGTAGTCGGTTATGGGGAACAAAAGTTTTAATCTTTTAGCAGTTCCAAGGACTTTAGACAAAATACATATATAACAATCCTCCATTTACAGTAATTCCATAAAGCAAGATTTAGGTAAACATATGGCCTGCATACCAAAAAAATAACAATTTCACTTTCCACCTCTTGCTCACTGAATAAATTACTCAATCTGATATAAATACATTCAATTTATAAGGAATTAAACGTGATTTCAATGCATCAGAAAGTTGCACCCCTACAAATAGTGTGTCTGCGAGTCAGATTATTGCTTAACATTTTCCAAAGCATAGTCAAAAGTTCTTAGAAAAATTTCCAGAAATTTTTGGTCCGCATTTATTTCAGTGCAATATGCATCTGCTGCTGCTTTCATTCAGTGATGACACCACCATGATTCTACTATATGCAAGCATATATTGCAAAGTTAAGTGAAAGCTAATGAAAAACTTTCAGCAGTGTGACTCAAAGCAAAATTCAGAGAGAATCTTCTAAAAGTACAAACGTGTACTTTTCCATTTCAGCTCAGTACAGAAATAGTCAGTGAAAATAGTCAAGAAAAGCGAAAGTATCTGTAAATTGAAACTAAAATGTAGAGAAGCCAGCGGCTGCAGCTTAAGCTGGGAATGAACTGAAAGAGACGTCATGCTTTGGAGAATGACTGGCAATAAATTCAAAGAAACGCATCAAAATCACTGCAACAATTTGCTTAAAAAAAATAAAATAAAATAAAAAAAATATTACAAAGAAAAAAGATTTTACAGAAGAAGAAAAACCTCCAAAGTAGGAGGAAAGTATTGAAGTAAAAAAAAAAAAAAAAAGCATATTCATTAAACGGCCATCGTTATCACAGCACGGTTAGAACAGTGTTCACCGGCCTCTGCAGGCACATGATTGTGAGGGAAACAGACTAAACTCTAATTTCATTACATTAACTAAACACAGAAGCACAGCATTAGATCCTGAGTGTCACAAAAGCTCGTCTGGAACAATGAGAATCGCATCTGAACATTTCACGTTTTCAGACTATATTGGTAATCTTTGGTAAAATCAGAGCAGAACTCGCACTTTAACCGGTACTCGGTAACAGAAAGGCACTTGTGAGTACTCTTAATCATGACATATTCTTCATGTTTGCCATCTCAGATCGTTTTTCCTGCATTCCTCGCATTGATAAAAGCCATACCGTGAGTTCTGAAGTGTGTATTCAGATCTGTGACCTTGTCAAAGTGTTTACCACACACCTTACAGGCCAGTGCTCCCTCCTCCTCTTTCCCCTCTCCTGTGGAGGGCTGAGTGGAGGGTGATGCTGGTGCAGAGCCATTCAGAGAACTCTTATCCTCGTGGTGCCTACTATTTCCAACGGAGGGTGACAGGTGCACACTGGGTGCTTGTTGGGTGTCATTGACCACATCTCTCACTTTGTGGGTGATGAAGCGATGGCGTGACAGTGAGAAGGTGGATGCGAAGCAGGCGCCACACTGGAGACACTGCAGGCCGCCATCGTCCGTGCCTCCGCGCCTGTGCTGGCTGATGTGCTCCAGGAACGCCACCTGCTCCTCTGAGGTGAAGCCGCAGACGGCACACCGAAACCCAGACTCGGGAAGAGAGGACGGAGCGAGAGCTGAGGAGGAAGAGGACCGTAGCTTCTTCCCCGGACTAACTCTGTCTGTGGACTCTTCATTCTGCTCCACCTTCACGGCTCCTCTCCGTCTCTTGCGAGCCCCCAAACTGCTGTCCTGTTCCGATGAACTGTCAGCTTCATCTTCACCACTCTGAGATATCGAGATACAAACTTTAGTAAAAAAAATACTTACTGTTTGACTTCTTGTGTGATCGGATTACCGCTGGCTTACCATTGTGGTTTTCTGGCTTGCAGTTTCTGTGCTGTGCCTCAGCTGAAGGTGCCTCTCCAACATCGTTCTGCTGCTGAAGGTTTTCTTACCTTCAGTGCAAAACCTGCGCGCACGCACACACACACACACACCAAATTACAGTCATAAATGTCCTCTGTTATGACTTCATACATTTAAGAGTTTTTAAAGTTAGTATTCAGGAGTTTACAACGAGCTTCCCAAACCTTGCACTGGGGACCAGGGTCTGACAAAAGTATATGAGGTGCCCAAAAACATGAAAGCTTACAGGCTTGTAAGCTTTCATAATTGTGGAACAATTAAACCTTCTGCTCAACAATTTTTGTGTCACCACATGAAATCACATTGCTTCATACACATACCACCTTTAGATTCAACATCTGGAAAAAGTACAATGGCAACATTATTTGAAATGAGTCTGTGTTCATGCTTATCCAATTCCTGGTGAACTCTGCTGTTCACCTGCTTCCTTCCCAATTGCAGCCTACTTCAACAAGTCAGCCTTATTCACATCAAGAAGGATGCAGTTGGGAATTTGGGAGTCTGCAGGGAAGCACACTTGCCTTTGTAAATATGTAACACTAATGGACACAACTGCGGTACCATAAATTAAACATTAAGCAGTGTAGAGTTTACAGTTAGGATGAACCTACAGTGGACATTATATAAGTATATAAATCCCACATTAGGGAGTAATGGCTATGATGAATCTTCTAAAGCCTACAACATAACCAACACTGTTACCAGCTAGTGGGGGTGTGTTTGATGTGCACCACAACAGAAATCAATAAAATGCTAGTTAATCCTTCAAAAAAAACCAAAAAACAACAAAAAACAACATTGTGGGGTAAAAGTTGTTGGTTGTTCCCAGTCTAACATGCAGAGCAAGTACAAACAAAACAGGAAGGCTATGGCAAACTAATTTTCTGATATCTGTGAGTCCTTATTTTGAGGTTGTGATTATTATTCCTTATACTAAGGTGATGATTGTTATTCTTTCACTAATAAATTCAAAAGCTGCGGTCAAAAAATAACCAGAAATGCATAGGATTGACTGGTACTGAACAGCAGAGTTTTCCTATTTTGTACATTTAACACAAAAGAAAAAATTCCCTGTAAGTAGAGGTTGGATGGGGAAGTTACTCACTGGCAGCGAAAGCTGCGGTTCATGGCTTTGTGCTTATCTCTGATGTGACGCCTCAGACTGGAGGTGGTTGTGAAGGAGCTCTCACATTTGTTGCAGGGAAACTTCTTCAAAATCTACACAAAAAGATTAAAGGATTTGATTAAATTCATTTTAAACCAGTGATTCACAGCCAGGGGTGCAGAGACAGAGAGAATGCAGAAATGTTTTAGATAAATAAGTAATGGCCATGGACAGAGGCGTGCTGATCGATTCAAATATCGATAGTATTAATGTCTACGCTGGTTCAGTATGTATCCCACTGAACTCTGTTAATTATGTTTTTTTCTTCCTTTCCAAAAAAAATGAACTGTGAAAAACCTCTGGGTCAGCTTCTATTGTTTAAATGTGCTATAGATAAAATAGATGTGACAGTCAACACAGAAAGGTTCAAGGTCTCCAAAAACCCAGTTTGAAAATACATGAAAAGCTGAAAGGTTTTATTATGTCAATCAAGTACATATGTAAAACCAAAAACTGTCAAAATAATGTGCTCAAGTATGAATCAGTACTTTGTAACCAGGAGTGTGGATAAACAAATTAGGGGCTCAGACACACTCTCACGTTCACACTTATGGCCAGTTTAGATTAACCTAACATACATATCTTTGGACTGCTGGAGGAAAGCATAGCACCCACACCCTCAGTCCCCCAGCAGCTTTCAAGCCACAACCTTCCTGCTGTGAGGCAACAGCGGTAACCACTGCACCACAAAGCTAACAACAACTTATAAATGCTTAACTGATGTTGAATCTGTAACCATTTCAGATGTGATTATAAATGAACTCATCTGCACATTTATCAGCACACGGTGCT